CCGCCGCCGCCACCGCCGAGCAATAAATGCGGCGCGCCGCCGGTGCCGCCAAGCTTTTTAGTTTTTTTTGTGTGTGTGTGTGTGTGGGGGGGGGGGGGGGGGGTATGTGTGCGTATATTGGTGTTTTTTTTTCTGCTTCTGTATGAGTCTTACCTGCTATACTATGCACAGAAAAAATGAATAAATACACTGGGGTCTACATGCGTTGTCCCTTTCTTTTTTTACTGTTGTAAATATATCAATAAATGTAGAAGTTCCATACTAAACGGAGACACGGAACGATAAAAAAACGGACAAAACAACAAGTCTCAAACACAGTTTCTAGTTTATTTGAACAACGAACGCTCTTATAGACCCTCACCACCAAAGAAGAAACACCTCCTCTTCACTAGGTCACCGAACGCCGGACACTCAGACAGATCCAAATGATTCATATGATTCAGACAGATCCAAATGATTCACACCAACCAGCCACCCTGACGACCTCGCTTGACGGCTGACCAGCCACATGCGATAACAGGCAACTCCAGCTCCAGCACAGCCCTTACCAAGGGCGTACCACCTGGGAGGGGGGGGGGGGCAAAGGGGGCGCTTGCCCCCCCCCCCTGTTCTCAGAGTGGGGGGGCAAGGCATGTGCTTTGCCCCCCCCCCCCCCCCCCCCCGGAAAAAGCCGCCCCTGGGCAGGGCACACACTGGCCGGCGGTACCCAAGGAATACCAAAGCCCCCCGGCCCTGGGGGAGGGGGGTCTGGTTTGCCCCCCCACTCAAGAACAAGTTGGTACGCCATTGGCCCTTACTATTCTTGGAAAGCCCACAAAACAAGACCTTAGAGACACAAAAAAACCTTCATATCACTGTTCAATGTCAAGGACGGTGTCATATGACTGCGGGTGCAAACCATTATTTGCTTCTTCCACTGTTCTCGCTGGGCACAGAGATAAAACGTTTAGAGAGATAATTGAGGCGGACGCCATCAATAGCTCCGGCACGTGTTGTAGCGTGTACCTGCGGTCCGTGGCGGGGCCACGGATTGGTTGAAATGTGGTGTGGTCTTGGATTAAATCAGCTGACAGTCATTACAGTCTACAACATCTATAGCGATTTCCGAATTCTGAGCCTTATCTTCTACTGCCCTTTTATGTTCCAAGAGCCAATTTTATTTATACAGCGACCAGTTTGCCCAGCCATAGCCTCCTCTATGGCTGGGCAAACGAAAATGAAGCCTGGCAGAAGGTGTTCTCGGTTTTTATCCAGAAATGCCTGGCAGGAGTGGAGCTCAACAGTCCATTGTCACTCAAAAACTCTGAGCATGATTGAAATATTGAATCTGCATCATGGGGGAAGGTGTGATGTGACAATTGTAGACATCAAGGACTACTCTATGGATAAGTCGGAGCTGTTAATACGTTCATAAAGGTCAGGAGGTGGTGTGATGATAATCTATAGTGAAGTTTCAGTTTGCCTCTGGGATTATGTACAGAATGTCATAAAAAAAAAATTAGTTTTTTTTTTTTTATTGCAAACATAAAACTAGGCATCGCCGAACGCTCATTATCCGCCCAAAGGTAGCACTAGAGGTCACAACCAGATGCTAAAGTTTTAGCCCGATCCGATAACTTAATAAAAAGTTATAAGGAATTATCTGACGGAGTTTTCGAATACATGAGTCTCTATATGGCACCAGAAAACGAAAACGGGCAAAAATGGGCTCCATTTTCCGCTTGAAATGAAAATCACCCATAACTTTTGAAGAAGATATCGGATCGGGCTGAGACTTCGGCATTTGGTTGTGTGACCTCTAGCGCTACCTTTGAGCGGAGAATGAGCGTTCGACGACGCCTAGTTTATTTTTGCGGTGAAAAAAACCCTGTAAATTTTTTTATGAGCATTCTGGAGTTTTATTTAGAGTCCACTGTCGTAGACTTTGATGGTTCTCTTTTTATTCATAAAGAGGGAGTGTATATCGGGTCGTGAATTTCTCCAGTAATGTCCGAGATTTTTTAAAGGGATATTGATGTTCACGTTGACAGGGTTGTGCGGTCCTTGTCGAGTGGACCGCACAACCGTGCGGTCGCAACAGTTGAATTCAGTACTTAGACCTCCTGCTGCACACGAAAAGGGGCCTGTGCAGGAGGTACGGCAAGGAATCAGCAAAGCCTCTGTTGGCAGCTGACAGCCGTCACCCAAAAATAGTTATGATAACGCCTGTAAAAAATCCCGTATGCTTTGGGTTGGAGATGCACTTGAGTTGCAAAAGATGCGTCTTTTGGAAGCGGGCCATCACCAGGATGTAATTCTTAGAGTTGCGCTCAAGGTGCTAGGAAGGTTTAATTCGTCTCCTGTGGAAAAACCGGTTGTGAAGAATGTTGTGTGTGTGCCTTACTACCATGGAATGTCTCATAATTTTATATCAGTGGCAAAGGGGTTCGGTGTAAATTTAGTCTTCAAAGCTCAGCACAAATTAGAAAGGTTAACCCCCTTCATGATGGTCCTCTGGGGTGCCATAAAAAAAAAAAAAAAAACAAGAATTTAGATGTAACTTGTCAGGCAGGAGTGGTGTGGGACCCTCTTACACCGTTGAAACTCGTTTCGTGGAATTAAGTATCGCGGACAACTTTTCATGGACACACGTTTCACGAACACACGTTTTGTCGATACAGTCGGTTCATCGACACTCGTTACGCGAACTGTTCGCTGTAGAGACATATCAGACATCTCGTCAAGCGTGTATCATTAAAGTGCAATTTAACTACCCCCCCCCCCCCCCCCACACACACACACACACACACTTCGCCGGCGACAGTCTGCGGAGGCTCATTACAAAAATGTTAACTCGCTTGATCGACGCGTACACGCGTACACGCAACACTCTCATGCAGCTTATTACAGAAAAAAAAAAAAACCGACTAATTTGATAAACGTCGTTTGATAGACTGACTGCCACCGGTAATGTACGACATTCCGTTGCGGTGTGGGTTGTCCTATGTTGGGCAAACTGGTCGTTGAATAAATAAAAGGCTCTGGAACATAAAAGGGAAATAGAAGCCTGTCAGCGGACACCCGCGTTTTGCCCAAAGAGGAAGAAAATGGTAGGAGAGTTTTGAGGGAGACCATGCGTATTTTGACCACTGGCAATTAATTGCGTATAGCACTGTCCTTGGCATTGGACGGTGATATGAAGCGTGTTTTTCTGTCTGTAAGATCTTGTTTTGTGGGTTTTCCAAGAATAGTAAGGGTTGTGATGGAGTTGCCCGTTATCGCATCTGGCTGATCCGTCATCAAGTGAGGTCGTCAGGGTGGCTGTTTGGTGCGACCATGATTCATTTGGACCTGTCTGAGCGTCCGACTTTCAGTGACCTAATGGAGTGTTTTTTTTGGTGGTGAGGGTCTTGACGTATATATAAAAGCGTTCGTTACTCAAATAAACTATACCCGTTTTTCTGAAGAAAAAAGCAAGTTTTGCGCAATGTCCATACGCGAGTAACGCGACGCGAAGTAGTTCCTACGAGATTTAATTGGTTGTTGGAGGAAAACGGGATGATTTTCACGCTGGAACGTGTACGTCTTGATAATATAACATATATGTAATCTAGAATTTACCAACGTATATCTTATACTCCACATAAAGGTGGAAATTGGTAATGGTTCGCGAGGAGTCGGACTTTTTATTACTAGGGTTCTTTTCGTGAAAACGGGTATAGAAGCTGTGTTTGAGACTTCTCTTGTCGGTTTTTTTTTTTTTTTTTTTTCGCCACTCCATGCTTTTTCGGTTACTATGGAAGTTCTTCACCAGCTCGCCTGTGTTTTTACCCGTGTTATAACGGAATGAACCGTTTTGTAGGCTGTAAAATGATTTAATGAAAACTTTGAGAAATCATTTGATACACTCGTGGAGGGCTATATTCGCGTCCGTTTTCGTTCCTGTCGCTCGTGTTTCTAGGGGTCCTCTTTTCTCATCCCCACGCCGGGATCCAGCATTGGGGGTCGAAGTCGAGCTGGTCAGGCTTCGATCGCATCCGGTCGATCGCATCCGGTCTTCGACTTCGCGCCCTCGCGAATTTTGTTGATGTTGTTGTGATCCTCGGTTATGAGTCTAGCCACCGTGGACGGTGGCGTCGGCGGGAAGCGCGTGTAATCGGAGGATCTGCCGCGGTGCAAGGCGAGTCAGCTCTGGGCGAGTCGGTTGCGTAGCGGTGCATCGGTGTCAATCACTGGTTGTTCGTAAAAAAAAAAAAAAATAAAAAGAATTAGAGCTGTTGTGCGGCGGCTTGGCGGCAAGAAAAAAAATATTTATTTTTTAGGGGTTTACATTTTGTTTTCTAAATTCAAACGACTCTTTTCTCTCTCCCCCTCTCTCTAATTTACCCCCCCCCCCCCCCCCACCCTCCCCTTTCTCTCTTCCGCGCCACGCCGCCGCCGATCCGTTGACCCCCGCGCCGTCAACACGCCGCCGCCGGAGGTACAAACACCGGCGCGCCGCCGCCGGCGATTTCTGACTGGCACACCGGTTCCGTTCTGACCGGTTCTACAAAAGTTCGCGACACCCCTAGTTACAAGGCTCTGAATGACGTTTGGCATTTTTTACCTCAGTAAACAAAAATACAAAAGTATTTTTCTTTGAACTAGTCGGGATAACAAGCACACAAAAGGTTACAGGGAGTTTTTGTAGGTTTTGCGTATTCATACCTGCGTACAGAACTGGGTAGAAAAATCCGAGTAAAAAAACAGATTTTCACCCTGCTATTTTTTTAAGCAATATATATTTAAAAAAAAACAGAAAACCGGTTTTGGTTTTTGCAGAAATGGGACAATTACACATATATATGTATTTAAATCGAAAGACCCACCCCGACAAGTGTGTTCAATTTCAAATGAAACCACCCTAGAGTCATTTTACGTTGGATGTCCCGTTTCAGTTGACATTGCAGTTCTTGAAGGTAATGAGGGTCAGAGCCAGAGTGCCATTGGCATTTCACGAAAGGAACCAGGAGGCGCACATGTAAAGACGTCCAATTTTTATTCACAGTTGGTGGACTAAATAAAGCCATTCCGAAGCACTTTTAACACATCCCTTTAGCTATATGCTGCACTTGAGGAAAAGACAAAAGATGGACTTTAGTCGTCCGTAGCTGTGCAATGCAAAATGATCAAGGGCAGCCCAGTCCAACACTGAGCCCACCGCAAAAAGAATGCCATACAGAGAGACAAACTAGACTAAACAGTGCATTTAGCCAGCAGGGAAACACACAATGTCCCGAGCAAGCTAAGGGGCCTTGGCCCTGCTAGGCTGTGCACCTAGCACATGCTGAGTTCCTCCCTATGTACACAGCCGGCACAAAGCCCATCGAACGCTGCTCCACAATAAATAAAAGAAACGCCTGACACGCTGTACCCCCCCAAGCAATGTCACCAGCTTATGCATCCCTTACATGCGGCTAAAATTGCGGGTGTGAAAAGCGCACCAAGAATGCAGTTACATGGAGAGGATATACCATTGCTGCAAAGGGAATAACATACTGCCCCCAATCACTCGGGCACCCAAGATGACACGCATTCAAAAGCTGGCGAAGACAACGCACGAAACGCTGCAGTTGACAACAGACAAAGCTGCAGAAACTAAAACCTCTTTACATGCCTGGCCAAATAACGAGCCATCGAGCCTCTTGGAGAAACAAAAAAATGCACAAAGAACCAATGTGAGCAACTCAATGCTGCTCTTGTCATGACAAGCGTCTGCAGCGCTGGCGGCAGTGCCTCGGCTGGGAAAAGGCGCCCGGGCTACTGGCTACGATTCTGCCACTCCGAGGCCGCCTTCTCCTCCTTGCGGTGCTTCTTCTTCTTGAGAAACGAGGGCGTCCTCAGTCCCTTCTTCTTCTTCTTCTTGTCTCCCTCCACCTCCTTGACGGGCGAGCTCTGCCGGACAGCCTCATGAGCAGCCTGCACGTCGCAGCCCCCCTCCTGGCTCACCTCTTTGCTGCTGCGCGACGCTGCCGACACGTCACCACTCTCCCCACACCGGAGCTTCTCCTCTCCGTTCACGTCACCTGCGAGCCACCGTACCTTTCAAACCATGCTTGTCGCATACACTCTTCAAAACGAAGCTCAGAATTATTTCTCCTTCACCACTGTAACCAGCCTAGAACCTCGGATTACCTTCATAGCACGTCTATCTTTTATTCGCAGACTCCATTACAGTTCCCACCTTTTTTAGGTCTTTTACATGGCCGGCTTACCGTATATCGTGCTATTATGACCAATCTTCTAAAATTAACCCTATGTTAACACAGATGTTTACAAAAATTCACCACTTCTCTTCCATTTCGAATTGGAACAGCACCTCCAGGGAAATTGCCTTTGTTAGTCATCACCTCTCTTTTGCTGCAGCTTGAATATGTTGTAAAGTCCTGCACCTGTAGAACTGACCAATGTCTTGTGTTTTATTCAGACTTTTTTTTTTTTTCCCGTTCTGTTTTTTAATGTTTTGCCCGTTATGGGAATTCTAGAATTTCACCTAAAGTATGAGTGTTTGTGTCTTCCATTTTTGTTTCTTTTTTTCTTTGTGTTTTTTGGTTCTGTTGTATTCCATTCACTGTTTTCTTCAAGTGGGAGAAGAAGCTACGGGCTGTCCAACGCATATGCATGTGCTCAATACCTCGCATGACCTAAATACCATCCAGCATGAATTCGTGCCTGGTGGGTCACGTGACGCATTGGAAGAAATCGGTGTAAACAGCCAGTTGCTTTAGTGCCTGATCCAAATAAATTCAATTGTTAAAAAAAAAAGTTTCAGTTGCCTCTCATGCACCAGTCCTACTGACTCTGGAGCAGTAGGACTGCTCAGGAGCAGGACTGCTGACATATGTTCACCTCCGAAAGGTAACCCACCCCAAATTTTAACCTTTCCTTTTTTTTTTTTTTTTTACACAGAAATATAGTTTATTTATAGTAATTGCAGGGGCCTGGCCAATGGTTTTACTTAGCCACGGCAGGATATAAGTGAACATTGCTGACCGGAAAGGACAGACATCTGGTTCATCGCTCCTCCCTGTAATCACGAGTTTTTCAGATCACAGAATCTCAAAGTAGCATTTTTTTTCCCACTTCTTCTATCACACACCGATAGGCCCACTCCTTATTTTCACCTGATTTGCTTTTGAATTTAGGTGGGCTATCTTTCGGGATATTACGATAGCTTCCGAAAGGGAACTACTGGTTTGAATTGCTATCATAGCTTCGAACAATGTATCTTGCAATTGTTTGAGTACATACATTACTTAACATATTGAGACAAATACTAGTGGTGTGACCAGTCAGAGTAATTTTGGAGCAGCCAAAAGTCCATTTTGAGAGAGCACACATTTCATTTTCATTCATACCACTGCAAATATTAAATTAAGATTAATGTGCCGGCCCGTCCAACTAAAAGGCAGTGTCTACTTTGCTTTCTCAGTTACGTGTAACCCTTTGCTAGCATCAATTTCACGGCAGGAGCGATTCCCTCAAACACAGAAGTAGTGTTTAGTTGCTTGGAGAACCACCAAACACGATAACAAGATGATGACTGATGAAGAACAGCATGAACTGCTGTGAAACAGCATGGACTGCTGTGAATAGTTATTTTAGGTAATGAATCCCATTGAAATATTAGAAGAATACAATCATTTCGAGCACCAAAATAATGATTCCTTCATGTTTGAAAGGTTATAATAAACTAATTTATAATTGTCAATTACATTTTTTACGTAGAACTTCATAACAAAAATGTGCACGTGATAGATCAATATGCCCTTTTAAAAACATCCCGTCAAACTCTTTAAAGGGGCGGTGCAACAATTTTCGGACTTTATTCAAAGATTTCTGGAAGTTGCCCCCTGACACTTCTGAAGTAAAGAACAGAAAACCGATTTCGTCTGCGTCTCCTAGTTGTTGCGTAAAAAAAAGATAAAGATTGGCATTTCGGGCACCCCTCAACTCACTCCCAGTCTTCAGGGTCACACCTGGTGGCACTCCCAGTGACGTCATTCGGAGTGCCGTGTAGCTTCCCTTGTGCTATCTCGGAGGACGCTTCCCCTCCCTCTCTCGGTGTGCATTAGCGGGCGCTATGCTGCGGCTTAGAGCCGAGCGAGGTCACGTAATCTTTCCGCCGTAGTTCCTTCGGCTGCCACTTGGGGCTGCAGGTGGGGGAAAAAGCTCGACTTTTGTTTTGCGATTATGCAGCGGAATCGCGACATTTTTAAAGAAGGAAGTTTTTTCTCTATCCTCTGGGACAGGATAAATAACGTAAAAATGACGAGATGCAAATTCTTTTAATCATAAAATCGTTGCACCGCCCCTTTAATGTTATTCCCAAGCTTCCATCCACTGCTGCTGTCAAGTTAGTTCTAATTTATAACACCCAGCTATATAAAAGTGATAATTAAACAAAGGCTTTGGCATAAAAATAAACCCACAAAAAAGTGCATATAAATATTCTTGCAATACCGAAGTATCCTTGCCAAATATTGAATTAGAAAAAGGTACCACCAGGAAATTGCAGTCTATCATACAAGTTAAGTTGGCGTCGCATCTCGCTCTAGAGAAGTGCTTTCCCGTTAGCACGTGGGTGCACTGCAGCGAAGCAAGACACGCAGAATCGCGATGGCTCCTCCGCGGTTGTCGCTTGTCTGCAGTACACCAGTGCGCAGTGAGAAGCGCACTCAGCAAAACTAACCAACTTTCCAGAACAGACCACGAACATGAGAATTATTACAAAACTTCAGAGTACTTTCAGTCGTTGATACGAAATGCAATCGAATAGTATGTTACTTGAGTAGATAATCAAGAGATCTGAAAACTCGCATGGGTATGTCATAACCATCCGGCCAGGTAGCGAGGCCTGAAGCTATTATACGTCAAGTATTATTGAAGTGAAATTAAGTGTTCGCGCAAATTCCTCACATTTTGGTAAAAATGAAGCAGCATGTAGCAGGGTAAGCACTTTGGTACGGCTATCACATCACCAAGACCCATGCCAATTAAGCATCAACCAAAATTTTTATACAGCATGAAGGACTGTGTAATGTTTGTTTTACGAAACATTACTGTCGCTTAATCAGTCCTTGCAATTATCGTTGGGGGTTCAGCTTCTCAAAAGAAAATAGCAGATTATATGCGAAGGACGCTGGCCTGTAGGGTCACTATTGACCTGAGGAGAGTTTTCATCTTCAATTGGAAACTACACTTGTGCCGTCCACAAACAAACCGTAAAATATTTTGACTGCACTGCGGGGAACCTGGCTCGGTGGCGCCCAATAAAAGACGCTATTAGAATGCAAACATTGGCCATCACTGGCTGAAGAAAGAATCCATTGTTAGAACCAATATTTTTGCTTGAAGCAGAATGGAGGCAAGGCAGGCACTCCCAAAGACTTAATCCATGATGTCGAAGACAACACCAATGTGCAAATGCACATTTCCAACGAACAAATTATACAGGAATAAAGAATTAATTTTACATGCGGTAAAACTGAGCAAGCTTGTTTTTAAACCTATCTTTATGTCTCCAAGCAGCGTGCAATAACAGGCAAGCTGCATCTTTCCAAGCCGGGAAAGAACAAGGCAAGGCATGTGGACTAGCTGCAAAAGCGTGTACATCGTATGAACTTCTGTGTGCTCTAAGAAAGCAATAGGGAAAAGCAAAGCAGCAGCCTCTGCGTAAGGCCTATAGTAATAAAAGCAGATGTCAGCATCCTGCTGCTCAACAAGCCACCGCCATCCTAGAAAGTCTCGTCCAGCTCAACACAAGACTTGTAAGAGTTGCCATAAGAAAGAACCAGACACAAGTGTAGGCCAGAGTGCCACGTAGAAGAGCACACTTTTATCCTGTCGTTTTCTACCAGCTGGCAGCTAAGGCGAGACGGTAGGTGGTGGGATGCTCCATACCACACAGACGCGCTGGTGCGAGAGCGGCCTCAAACCGAGCAAGTGTGCTTGAAAGTGGAACTTATATATGTGGAATTGCATTCTTATAATGCGAACGGTGTTTTAAAAAGACTGAATAAACAGACAATGATGCAGCACATGCGCATGCACTTACGGCGGATAAGGACGCTGCCAGCGCACATACCAAACCAAATGTTGACTTGGGGCAAAACATATTTTAAACGTTGCATTCGCAAAAGGCAGACTTTACACTGAAATCTGAAGAGCAGGAAGCATTTTGAACCTTAGAATATTGTGTATACTAGGGTGCCTCCATGTGCGCTTCGCATAGGGTGATGCCAACTGCCTGTTTCCCTTTCCTACACCCTCGTCCACCGCCATTTTGTTCCTCATTGTTTCCCCGTGCGCCGGAAAGTGGCCTTTGTGTCCATCGGTTCTCCCATCCGAGGGGGGAAATGCTAATCCTTCCTCCGTGGGTTCCACAACGCTGCTCCGAACCTGTGAGATAAGGTGCTTGTTTCCGGGAGGGTTATAAGCCCACGGATTATCGCCGAGGACCAAAATGGCTGCTGGTTTGTCGGCGAGTGGTATTACAAAGGGTGGCATCACCCTAGCAAAGCGCACATGAAGGCTCCCTAGTGTATACACGTATGCAAGTCAGACTTCAGGGTGCCGCCATCTTGCTCGGTTGGTGTCCGCTTGGATGCATCATAATCCGATTACGAAGCCTTGCTAAGGTGTCATAATTAAATTATGGCCGCGCCCAAGCGCACCCCACTGAGCAAGGTGGTGGCGCCCTCAGGCCGGACTTGCAAACGTGTATACCACCAACATGATGCCATATCATTTTTCTTTTTTAACAGCAGCAATGTATTAGAACATTGACGCAGCAGACGCATGACGGCGCATGACGTTGCACCCGTGTCGTCTCCTGCAAAAGCGACGGTCGCTTCCCCCCATTTTAAGAATCCACAAGCAGAGCATACTTTACACATCACGTTTTGGAGAGCATCCAAAAGGTGTCACTGATGGTACTGCGCCACAAAAGAAAACAAAGACGCCCCCGATGTTCCCGTGAATAGAGAAGTAACCAGTAAGGTTCCGGTTGTTCAGATAAAACAGACACTCGCTGGAAAAATTTTCATCAAATCGCATCAACCCAGAAAACTAATAACCGAGATCATTATCAAATTTAAAAAGGGGACACTTCACATTAGTTTTTGGTACAGCACAAGGTCAGAAAGGCCAAGGCTGCTCCAGTCTCCTTTTTGACCACAGACAATTAAAGGGGCCCCTGCAACAATTTCTGTACTATCAATCAATACTGCTCAGAGTTAATCCTTGACGTTTATACCCTACAAGACACAGTTTCTTTTCAACGAAATGGCAGTCGCAGGAATAATTTGAGAAAAACAAGCAGCATTCACTCCAACTCGCAGTGGTCGAGTGATCTGGTCTCTGTTATATGGTGCCAATGTTTATCATAGCAACACGCTGGGGATGGTAAAGCACATGGCACTCTGACATTTTTAGGGTTTGCTATTCCCGTCAACACAGCTACTGGACACAAGCCAGAGTACGAAGCAGCCAGACTGTTGTTTGTTGTTCCGAACAGCAAGTTTGTCTCATATGCAAAAGTCAGAAATTACATCTACCACTTCACATCTGCAAATGTATATTTCCTATGAGGATTCCAATCTAAGAGCAACTGAGGTTGTTGATCAATACCCACTTGTTAACTATCACCGCAAAAGGAGACAAAACAAGTGATGACAAACACGTAAGGTCCCCATATCATGGCAACATTTAGCGTCCTCATCTGTAATCTGGAGGGTGTTTTCAAACAAGTTTGACCGACCATGTCCAGTGAGCCTTTTTAATTCTCGCAAAAAATATTTTGACTAAAAGCAGGGATGGAACTGGGCAAAGCAGCTTTGAAGCGATCTTGGGAGCAGAAAAAACTGAGTTTGGAGCAGGCCGGGAGCAGCAAAAACGAGGCCTTGGAGCAAGTTGGGAGCAGCATAAGAGTTTTAAGAACGTTAAAATAGAGGCTAAATGTCACCTGGTTTTCAAAACAAAAGAAAATCACCCGTATTCACTAGGTGTGAGTAGCGCCTGTTTAACCACTGACTAGCGACGTCATCGACTAAAATGATCACGTGGCGAGCGATAGTCGCCGCTAAGGAAGCACATGGTATTCACCGGTCGTGTTTAGGGCCTAGTCGCCTCGTGCAACTAAGAAGTCTACTAACAAATATTAGTCATGGGGTAGGGCTAGTTTAATTCGTGTTTAGCGGGTGACTAGCGGCTCAGCGCCATGGCCGACTCGTATCACCGCTGACCGCAAGCACTAACGAAGCACTTACTGTCTCTGAATGCTGGGAAGCATTCCGAGACAGTAAGAAAGAATCTAGAAAGAATTGGAGGAGCAAATATTGTGTAAATAGCCATGTTCAACGGTCAGAGATACCGCTAAAGTAATCTCAGCAGGGCGCTGGACGACGAGAAAAAAACACATTTACGGGCGCTTCTATATTTCATCGCTGGCAATGTGGCTTCCGTGTTTTTCCCTTGCGTTTAATTTTTCTATGTAAAGCTTTCTCGGACAATTAGTCTCTCACTGCAACTTTTTTTTTTCATAATAAACATTTAAATATTAGTTTTTATACAATAAAATACACATTTATGCAGCGGCGTTTCAGTACGCATATGGTGACCTATCTTTTTATGTCACTTCCGCTTGTTAGTTCTGACTAGATAGTCACCTGCTCGCTTCGCGCTCGTGAATACCGCAAAACTAGTCAATCCTTAGTCACTGATTTTTTTTCTTAGCTCGCGACTACTTAGACGCAATACTAACTTTAAAACAGCGCTAGATAGTCACGACTGGTGAATACGGGTGAATATGGCATGCCGGTAACTCCATGTAAACTTAACAGTAGTTTCAATAAACGTTTTAGCTGCAAATATTTTTCACAAAATTATGTGCAGATTACACAAAACATATGAAGCAAAACTGCACATGACAGTGTGACACATGATAAAGACTTGCAAAGAGGTAAATATAAACAGGTACAAATAACTTTCATTGCTCAGCCTTGACTAGTAAGGTATACCGAAAAATTAACATGCAGGTACAAAAATGTTTTTTCATATTTCAGTGACTAGAATAAGATAATAAATGTCCTTGTACATATGAATATATTAGGACTTCGTCAATTGCTCACGGATAAACTTCACGTTTTCGAGATTCTGAGCCAATTTCGCATTAGCCTCCGCTAACGGCCCTTGTCGAGACTCAATATTCTCAGTCTCCTTTTCTTTTTTTTTTTTTTTTCAGACTTGACTTAATCAATGACTGCACATGCTCACGCTTAGTCCACGAACAGATGATGCACTGTTCAAGTTGTCGCTCTTCTTCCTAAAGAAGAGTTCTCTTTGAATTCGCTTCCCTCGCATCACCGTCCTTCCTCTTCTGTCTCTCGTCGTCTTGCTTTTCAACCTCTAGCCATTCTGTGTAAACTGTGTAACAAAGACTTCTTCCCAGCTTGCAGCAAATCTGCTGTCAAAGGCACTTTCGTGACCACTGCCAAATTGCTTCAAGGCACAATCACGATCTGCTCGTATGTTGCTCCATCATTACGACTTACTGCTTGCTCGCCCCTGTTCCCAAGTTTTCTGCACGGGGGCCGCGGCACACATTTCCTCCGCTATTCAGATCTTTAGGTGAAATGACTCCAGGACTGCAGAAAAGCACGGTGCGCATGCAGCAGCGGCAGCTCACATTGGCGGCAGCAACCTTCAGATACAGATTTTCTGATTTGGATCCACTGGCATCCCATTTTTGCCGGAAGTTCCGGTGTCAATGTTACCAACAGAAACTGCGAGACGGCTAATTTCGACGAGGATCGTTAATTTGGGCCAATGTTGGTTCGGGTACACCTTGGCACCATTTTGTTCTCATTTATACTTTTGTATCAGTGTGGCGCATGAAAGGTCATTAAATGCACAGTGGTGCAATTGGTGCAGCAGGTCCATCCTTGTATATGCCCACCAAAAAAAATCCAACTTTTGTTTTGCAGACAAAACAAAACATTTGTTGTGTGAAAAATTTAAAAGCACTTTTAGTTTGAAGTGCATTTTGCCGATTGTGCAAAAGTTCACATTTCAGGCACCTTCCCCAAGGGATCTAGAAATATTTCCTGATAAATTACGCATACGGAGGATTGGGCCAAAGTATTTACCACAGAGCATCGTCAGTCAGCAAAGAAAAATTTCGGACACAGCATATTGTGCAACAATGCTTAACTTTTATATATTTTTATTCCCATCTATAAATGCTTAGATTTTCAAACTTTTCCAACATGTCCCTGTATTTTGGTAATATTTGTGCTAAACATTCTTGTACAGGTAGAGGGACAAATGTATGAAAAAACCCTCTAACGGAACCATTTTACTAAATACAAATTATTTTAAAAGCCAATTTAAAAAAAAAGGCCATTTTCCATTCTTTTAATCTCCTCCATATTAAGCTCAGTGATATGCACTAATAAAATCTGCAAAAGCATGTTGCATCATTTTCGTGTCTTTGAAGTTATAAACCGAGAAATCTGGCCAAATATAGGCTACCGCAGTGCCGTGAATGGAGCGTGTACACACCCATCTGTTGACAAGTTCATTATTTTTACAGAGCATATAAATGCCCCCGGGGTGGTCTGAAAGACACAAATTGACGGCACAGAGGCGGATGATGGTTTTGAAGTGAGAATTCTAGTTGCATTTCTGGACTAGAACCGCAGAAAATGCTCATGGGCCAGAGCAATTGAGAGGCTCTATCAGGTTGCATGCTTAGCAGGGCCAGTTTTCAATAGCCTGTGTGTAGTGTGCTACTAGCATCTCTGTGCACGCCAGCTACGTAAAGAAAGTGAGGTGGCTTGCCAAGACTCCACACGCCAGTCAGACTCCCGACCCGAGGAGTCCGTGCCGCAAGCCACAAGATGATCCGTATTTGGTCAAATTGCCCACATTTGAGTGTTTCTCCTAAATTTATCTCACTAACCAGGACAATGATACTTAGCACAAAGGTTAACAAAACAAAACGCAAAAAAAGGTAAAAGTTAAACATATTGCGCAATGTGCCGTGTTTACCATTTTTCTTTGCAAACTAACAATGTTGATAATCTGCGGTCAACACTCTAGGTCAATCGTCCCCAAGCGTAATTTGTCAGTAAATATTTTAAGACCTGCAGCAAAAGCAGTTATTTTGGGGGAGGTACTCGAAGTGCCAATTTTGCATGACTTGCAGAAAGCGTTTCGGACTGAGAGTATGCTTCTAAATTCTTTCCAAAAAGCCAAAAAAGATTTTTTTTTTTTTTGCATGACAAGTTATTTTTGTTTTGCTGGGCATTATTTTTTAATAGTCAACAATTTCTTTTCCATCAAAATTAAAAATTGTCATAGGACATGGTTGGTTAAACTGGTCTGAAAACACCCTGCAGTCTCACTGCCTTAGATCAGAAAAAGGTCTTCACACCCATGGCACAAGCAACATGCCACAATGCAACCAGGCAGCATGTTGAACACAGTTTGTGACTTGGCTTGGTAACATTGTCAAGATTGCCAGAAGTGAGGTTACATGGGGCTGGGACAGTGGGGACATAGAAAACTTTAAGGACTCTTGTTTCTTTACCCCCCCCCCCCCCCCCCCCCCCCCCCCCCCCCCCAAATGGCCCCACAGGGTGCTAGCACACCGGCCGACCCACACACGAACCTCGCAAAAAGCACAGAAAGGTGTGGGGCACTTACTCTGACGTTTTGGCTTGCGCTCAGACTGAGCTCGTCGCCCAAATTGCTGCACCATCATGCGCTCGTCCTCCGCAGCTAGAGCCATGCAATGCCATGCACAAGTCATGCAAATGGACAAGCAACACTGTCATGTGCATGCCAAACAAGGGGAAAACAAATGTTCACACAGCATTCAGAGTGAACGCACTTGCAAAGCAGCTCAAATTCATCAACACGTCCTAACCGGGCCTCGCCACACAGAACAATGCCACCTCATTTACACATACCGTAATACCCAGAGAGATAGTCCACCGAAATTCAAACACAAATAGGGTGAAAATAGTAGTGGGCTAACTTTCGGTGTGCGATCACAAAAACTTGAAGAAATGGCAGTTTTAGATTTTGTGACCCGAGGAACTTGTAATCGCAGGGAGGGGCGATGAACCAGAGACGACTGTCCCTTCCAGTCAACAACGTTAGCCTATCTCCCGCTGTGGCTAAATAACACCATTACTGCCGAGGCCACCATTGGCCATGCAATCACAGTGCAATCCACTTATAACGATATCACATTACAACATATCGCTTATAATGATCAGTTTCTAGAGTTTCTAGACTAGAAGCAATCAGTTTCTAGTCCAGATACAACGATAATCGGTTATAACGATTGCATTTTCGGGTTTTTTTTCATTATCGTTAAAAGTGGATTGCACTGTACTATAAGTGGGCCATCGTTGTGTTTCTAAGAAATAGCAAATCGTGCCAAAAGTAAGGGTGGGTCATCTTTCGGGATATGTCTCGGGAATAGATTGCCTGTAACACCTCCAATACGACGCACACTGGCAACTTTTTCTCAGGAGCACCGCGGAAAAGTCAATTAGTAAGGAAGTGGAAGGTAACACTTTCTCAATTACAACATCGGTGACTTTTTTTCAGGAGCACCGCGGAAAAGTCAATTAGTAAGGAAGTGGAAGGTAACACTTTCTCAATTACAAACGGTCTCTGTGGCCACAGGGTCAATATTGATTGGCAAAACTGGCAAGCAAATGAAACGCTGGCATCAGTTCCACTAACATTACAATGGGAATGAAGGATTCCACTGTCAAAAGTACCTAAAACAGGCAAGGCCTCTCAGGCTTTGTAAACAAAAACTATGTACTATGTAGCACACATATTTTTGACTTGCCACAAATATAGCCATTTTAAACCCATGCATCAACAGAGACACAATGACTTCCAAGTCATTGGGGAGCATTCAAACTTATTTCAAACAGATGTTCAAATACAATGGCCATAATAGAAAAAGTCCAAAACTAGAAATCCCCCAATGGTCCATAAGCACCATCGATCAACGGAATATTGAGCTCTGGTTTCCTCTGTTGTCGTCACTGTTGTCAGAAACTTTGTAATGACCATATATTTTCTGTTTATCCACTGCATTAAATTTCCCCTCAGTTTGCATTCAGACTTAAAAGCAGTCAAATCAGCTATGCGCATGATTATACAGCAGGAGTGGCCAAACTGCGGCTCGCGAGCCACATGCGGCTCTTCGAGGGTCCAGGTGCAACTCGTCGGCTCTTCACTTAAAATGGCTTTTTTATGGCTCTTTGATATCTCCGTCTGGCCACCCTCGTTATGCAGCAAAAACCTAGCATGGCAAATGTTACAATTGTCACTGTCGGGAGGCAATCTGGCCAATCCAGTAAAACTGCTACCTTTCTTTAACGTACCGGGACAACTGCCATGCAAAATTAAACCGACAGGAGTGCGCTGTCAAGTCACAATACCGGAGTCTGTAATACAAGACTCTGACATTGTTTGCTGCAAACTACGGTGCGCAAACACATTTGACCACCCACCCCCTCGGATCCAGACCTAGTATGGTCAAGTTGACCATTCGGTTATTGAAAAAGCAACGAAGATAACTGCGCCCACAGAGAAAACCACAACCTTGTCTACTATAGACATTCCATTCCCAAAACGCACTTGGGCTGCCATACTAAATTTTAACCCCGAAATAGAACACAGCAGACACTACGAGCCATCCCAGCCAATCCAGCACAAAGAGTGTGCCATGCAACGGCCTGTCCAAAGGGAAATTGTGAGGCAACACAACCCCGACTTAAGTCGTACAACGGTCTGCTTCCGTCCGGTTTTTTTGTCTGTTGGCTGTCGGTCAATCACCCAAGGCCTTCGCTGCTCTTCAAGTCCCGAAAACGGGAAAGGGAAGGGCTGTGTTCGAAATCTTACCTAAATAGATCCGAGCTATTCCTGCAGGTCGTGTCACGCTATAACACAGAGCGACGCTGAACGCGGGTAGGTTTTCGAATGCAAAGATACAAAAGCATTACACTCTGGAGTAAGACAGAGTAAATTTTGGAACACGTTCAAGGATAGAAGGGCCCGGTAGACCAGATGGACAGCATTGGCAGGTGGCGTGAGACGTCGAGTCTGACGAGCACAGAGGTCACCAAAAAGCGGAAAAAGCGAGGAGGGAAATCGTGATTTTCGGCTCGGTGGTGTTCAAACAGACATTGGACTGCCGAACACTTCAACTTCCACGATTTTTGCCAAAGTTGTGTCGCCTCATGATTTCTGAAGTGTCCTGTTTGGACAGGCCTTAACATTGTGCTTGACCAGAAGGTCATGTGGCAAGCTCTCGGTGCTGAATTGACCTACATGGCTTAGAAGATCCACCACAGTCTTATTTTAGGGTAAAACGGCACATGGGGATACTCCCAGATAAGGGCATTGTCTATTATGTTCAAGTTCACAGCTACCTCGGAAATAAATTTGCACACCACTGCTTTCACCATAGCCCTCTGGCAGCCTACAACTAGCCCGTATGCTGTATTCTATAGTTCTTTAGTAAACCATCAATTAACCAGAAAGAATATTTATGGCTCCCACTTCCAGTTCTATTTTTCTGAAGGTAGCAATGCAGCGCCTTAACTCAATTGGTACAGTGAATAAGGCGGTGTGAACTCGCACAATATTCGTGCAACTTTTCTAGCCAAAGTTCCAGGGCAGGAAACATGCGTGAGCTTCGAATGGCAAGGCTGTGCATCAGGTATACACCACTTAGCTCATTGTTCTCGACCGAAAAGAGCCCTACCCTACGCATAAAAGGGCACCACAAAAACACCCGAGCACCAACATAGAGAATTCACCTCAAAGCTCCTGAAGCAAGAACTTGGAGCACTAGGGAAGAAATCACCCACCTCTGTTCCTTCTAAAGATGCCTTAATTAAAGAAATCCCAGAAACAAGATGGCAGCTGCAAACTACTCTAGCAGTTATCCTACGATTGCGTGCTGGCACACTGGACATAAAAGCTTTGTGCGCCTGGTTAACCAGGCAGCACAAGATTTTAGCTTCCAGAGTTGCAACAGTGCGAGAGATGGCCCGACGAACAAAAATGTGACACTATTTTTATGGCCTATCTGGGGGCAGTAGCCCCAGTGAAGCTGTTGGGTGCTCAGATGATTAGCTGCAAAAATATCAAGCAAGCACCCTTACTTGTGTGAGTACCTCCTCCCATTTCCAGGGGGTTTAAGATTTCCCCATGATGCAGTCTCCACCAGAAAAAAAGATATTTTCTTCCCCTTAAAAATATTGTGGTTAGAAATGCTTACAACAGCAACTTTGTAAGGGTGCCACCATCTTGGCATTGTGATCCTGCCGCCATAGCTGACCTCCATTTTCTTGTCAGTGCAGTAGGTTTTCTGCTGTGCCCGCTAACACTGGAGCTTTGTTTACCCGTTTTCTTTCTTTCTGCTTAAAAATGTTTTTGTATATTTTGTGTATCCGATCAATTGTAATTCATATTAGAACTTATTTGATGAATTTATTTCATTTACTTGTATCAGACAGCGAGTGAGTCAACGACACAATTATATGGCACGAATAATGTGCTATTCTAAGTGATATTCAAAGTTTTAAATATTCACATCAGCCTACCGTAATGATACGGCTGTGTAGCAGCGCTGAAATGTAGTAGGATGTAGCAGAGTACACAAGTTTGTAGAAATATTTTAAAAAAATTGCATCACTGTAATCTGTGAAAATCATGAGAGCGAGCAGTCATCAAGTGTTCATGCAAGAGCAGACGAACAGTGTGTTACACGCCGCAACAAAGGTCCCAAACCACACTTATGATGAAATGAAGAACTATAACAAATAAACAAAAATAGAGCAGACAAAACTGCATATTCTTAATTTTACTGGCCACTGTTTTTTCATGAGTGCCACCTGGAATTTTGGTCCCAACCCGACGAAGGCCTCCTTCCCTACACAGTGTGAATTATCTAAATTTGGATAGGGCACTTGCTCGGTGTTTTAGTCAGTAGAAGATTGCACATGCTTGGACATGAGACGCGAAAGTTATTTTCACTGCCCTTGCCAGAAGCAGCACTTTGATAAAAATTTAAATTTCTGATAAAGGGAAGGCCAAATGAATGTGGGCCAGTCCAGATAATAGATAAAAAAAGCATTGGTCAATCGTTAGTACTCCAGTTCTGTCAGCCTCTCCAAGCGTGTGTCTACCCTTCCAGCACCCACGCTCACCTTGCGTGGCCAGCCGGGACGAGAGCGAGCGGCGGACCTGGCCGCTCGCCTTCGAGTCGTCTTCGTCGTCGTCGGACGGGCGCAGGGGCGACTGGGGCCGCTGGGGCTCCACGAGCAGCGCCTTGATCGAGTCGGGCACCTCCTCCTCAACTGCGGCAGCAGGGGGGCCTTGAGCAGGACCCCCGGCGGCAGATGCCCCAACCCCACTTACTCGGCTCGCCCCGCTGCTTCTTCTCCACCAGGCGGCGGTACTCTTCCAGCTCCCCGTCGCTGATGTTGTCAAAGGGGTTCTTGCTGTATGCACTCTTGTACACCATGGCATTGTGCTGGAAATCCCGCTGAATAATGCCCTTGGAAGCCGCACCCACCAACACCACCTGATCCCCCGTGCCGCTCATCACGGCGTCCTGCCACAAGGGAAACCCCGTCAAGGCCCCCCCTCCGCCACCACCGGCCCACCCGGCCACCAACCTGCATCTTCTTCACCTCCTCCCAAGTGACCCCCTCGAGCAGGTTAGACTGGGGCCCGGCATTTAGCTTGGAGTTGAGCCGATTCTCTTTCAGCTGCAGGAGAGCCACACACTGAGCCAGGGGGCAGCCGACAGCGTTTATTGCCACACAAGGGTTACAAGGAAAAGCACTGACCTCCTTCTGCTTGCGCTTAAACTCGGTGGGGTCAGTACCCTTGGGGACAAACTGGTGCGGGGTGTCTATCTTAACCGAGGTCGAGGGCGACCCGTCCTGCACCCACTGCGGGAGAAGGAGCCAGGTCAGCGTGCGCGCCCAGAGGCCGCCCCCCCAAAGCAAAGGGCCCCGCTGCTTACTGCGTCTGCCTCCCCTCCGACCTCTACCCACTGGGGAGAGAGAGCGCACAGCGTCAGAGACTCCCCCTCCCGCCCCCGTCCCCCCTACTGGGCTACCTTGGTGATCTTCTTGGGGTCCTGGGTGCCCGTCTCCAGCACCTCCACCCGCTGGTATGTGTTGGGCGAGTTCACCCAGCGCACCTTGTCCTGAGTCTTGCGCCCATCCAGCAGCTTCTTCAGCGGGCTGAAACGCACACCACGCCCGCATCTCAACATGCTGCCTACACCGCCAAACATTTGGCCGAGTGTCATCCCAAACACTGCTTTTGGCCACAATGAAGCCAAAAGTTGGTTTTAGAGAAGCTACATGAAGGCACAGACGGTGGATTAATGCTGAAAACTGCACGGATACTTCATGCAACGTCTAGTAGACATTGTTTAAGCATGTGTTCCCGTGACCTGAAGACACTTTTTTGTGCTTTTTGTGTTTTTGCTTCTATAGTTGGCAAAGCAATGCCACAACTAATGCATGTAAGCACACATTCAAAACACATGCAAGTCATTTGGAAATATATGAATTACAAGATCAAAATCTGATTAATTTAAATTACCATTATCTCATCACATTTGCATAACTACAAAAATAGCAATACACATGCAATCAAGCAGGTTTCAAAGGCAAATCCACTATCCTGCACAGTATGTAGATTCAAACTCTTCATGCAGAAGGGTGCTTGTAACACATACATTCTGTCCACTACACGCAATTAACACTCAACTGTCACAAGACTAAAATCAAATTTGTTTTGAAATGATGCATGTCAGCATCAAGAGGCAACCGCCTCTTTTTCTTTTTTTCTTTCATAGAATTTAAAGGCTGTCACCGAGACTACTCGTGTTGCAAAAAATGCTCATTCGGGGGGCACTGACCTAAGCTCAAAGTCTGTTTTCGTTAAAGCCATCAGAAAATAAAAATTATGAAAAACACTTTGATTTTATGTTTGCAAAAACTGCACCACGGAAGCATCTTCGTGTGAAGCCTGAAATATAAAAGCTGTCCGATCCGTCTCATGATCAATCAGAAACATGCCCTGTTGCAATTTTCCCCAGAAATTATGCAACCCTAGACTACAAGCTCAGCTGTCCAAAAGCACTTTCACTTTCTTCATCATTACTATTTAATTTAGGAAAGGCTTTGAAAATGATTGCCACTGGAGACTATAATAAGTATGAATGTCTAGTATTTGCGATTAGCTCAGCTTCCAGGATCTGGGTCACGCAAGAGCAACGTGACTTTTGGCCATAAGGAATAAAGTGGTTTCATCAACATGCATATAATCTCAAAGAGCTCAGAAGAAAACCACGGAATGAATTGGGTAGCTCAGCCAATGAACTATGAGGGTTAAATTACAAAGTATTTAATGAAGGGGCAAAGTAAGAAACCAGGTGTCTGGGAAAAAGGTTGTGTTTTTTCACCATAGAATTAAATTATGCCTCGCCAAACACTCAGTCTCGGCCCAAATGTACAAATGTAGCACCAGCGATCAGGACCAGCACTTATAGTTTTAGAGCCAATCGTTATTCGATTACCTATTTAGAAGAAAGTTTTTTTCAGGAACCGTCTCATGAACCAGAACAGTTACAAAATTAAGTGGTGATTAATACAATAAATATTGCTCACCACACAGCTTTAACAACTAAAAGACAAACATCGACATGATATTAAACTCTCACGGGAATTTTAAGAGTTCATACGGCATTGGCAAGTGGTGCTTCTGGTATTAATTTTAAAACTTCCAGGACAATCTGCCAAATCCGCTTCGGTGGACGTGCATTTGAAAAATTAGGCTCCCATTTTTCTCATTCACTCGCATACAAGCATACACCAACCTACAAGCCTGCACGAATGCAGGCTCGTTCGCAAACGGTGCTTTGGTGCATACAAGCATGCACCAAAGCACCGTTTGCAAACAAGCCTGCATTCGTCCATACCATGTGTGGGGACTGCACGTGCGCCGAAACCAGATTCAAGTGACATTAAGCGTCTGTGCATGCACAATGTTAACAGCAGAGCGACGCCAAAAACTGTGTGCAATGTGTCCTTAAGAGTGTTCCATTTACTGTCCCCTTCAGAATATGAATTTTTAAGCGTGAAGCTCCTTAGAGTCTAGCCTTGTCTGGCGTCCGTGCTCCCAGATTGCCATCCCATCTGTCTTCTTAAAAGACACATGCAAAGGCGAAAACACGTCTTTGCGGGCATTTCTGATAATTCAAGTGAAGATGATAAATTGCTTTTGGACAGCTGCAGTGACTGGTCATCCGACCTTGAATTGAGCTCCGACAACGGTGATGCAAGTGGCAACGAGGACTTGTTGACATCTCAGAAATGGACAAAACTTGACAACGAGAAGCTACCACCTCCACCTCCTAGTTTTTGGCATCGCCGGGAATGACCACCACAGTAGAAGGTGATCGAAACCCTCTTCAGTTTTTAACAGTTTTTTGATGATGACGTGACTGCCTTGATCGTGCTGGGGATGAACAGGTACACTGAGCAGTTCCTGTTGGCGCAACAGAAAACAAATAGCTCCCGCGCCACTGCTTGGAGGTTGCTTACTGCAGAGGAGCTCAAGGTGTTTCTTGCAATTATATTCTTGCAGGGCATTATCGACAAACCTGAACTGGCAATGTACTGGTCCACCAGAAAAATTTTGCAGACCCCCATCTCTAGAGAGCTCATGAGCAAGAATCAATTTCATCTTATAATGAAGTTTCTTCATTTCACAAACAATGAGGAAGTCGACAAATCGCAGCAACCCCAGCCGAAGCTCCGGAAGTTGTGGCCTCTGCTGTGTCTTCTCAAGGAGTGATTTCTCGCTCTCTATGTCCCTGAGAGCACTGTGGCGGTTGATGAAAGCCTGATGTTGTACGAAGGTAGGCTTTCGTGGAGACAGTACCTACCTCTGAAGCAAGCATGACGTGTTTCCTGCTTTGCGAATTTGAGAGCGGTTACTCTCCACCCTCATCATGTACACTGGCAAGGGGATAGTAACTCCGGAGGAAGACACTGCCATGGGTACAACGATTTTTATGACTCCAATGGAATCCTTCCTTTTCAAAGGGTACCGCACGACAGTTGACAACTACTATACCTCTCCGGAGCTTGTGGACAAACTCCTCCAGCATAAGACCAATGTCTATGGCACGGTTCGCCCAACAAGAAAACAAATGCCCCCTTCAAAGATCTGAAGCTGAACAAGGGAGAAGTTGGGGCTTCTCAGCGAGGGAAGTGCATGATTCTGCAATGGCCATGACAAGAAATTCGTCAAACTGCTCAGCACAGTTCACGATGCGGCTCTCGTGGAAGGCGTAAATGCTCGCAACGAAAAAGTGGTGAAATCAGCTGAGGTCTAAGACTACAACACGATGGGAGGTGTAGACAAAAGTGACCAAATCCTCTCATACTACCTGCGGTAAGGGACGGCCAGAAGGTCTACAACAAAATCTTTCGGCAACCTTTTGACATGTCTATCTACAACTCCTTTGTTTCGTACAAGAGAGCAACCGCGCTCAGTCAGCTGGGCTACCAACTGGACCTCATCGAAAAGGTGATCTCACCAAATCACAATGAGAGCCAGCAGAGTAAAGTGGGAAGGTGATCCGACAACGAAGCCACACGGCTTACAGCCCGCCATTTCGTCAGCTTCATTCCTCAGATGGCCAACAAAAAACTGCCAACCCGGTGGTGCGTTGTCTGCTTCAAGGCCTCGTCTGCTGGAGAGACCAAGATCCGCAAAGAAGCTAGGTACTGGTGCAAAGATAGCAACGTGGCAGTCTGTGTGATTCCGTCCTTCGAGATCTACCACATGAAGACAAACTTCTAGGCTCTACCTCAAATTCAGCCACCAGCCGAGTCACAAAATCTCCAGAAAAGAAACCATTTGTTGTCCAGTGTATGGAGGATAGTGTTCTCGATCTAGTTATTCGTTAAGTTATTTATGTGCAACGCAATGATTGGCTGTATATGTGCTTTGCGGGAAAGTAGACGCAAGGGCCTTCTTCATAAATAGTGCGGCTATTACTCGAGTAAATACGTTATTTATGCAAAATTCCGGAAAAGAACTAGCATACCTACTAAAACGTCAATCAATAAAAATATGTTCTACCAAGATTTAGGAACTTAAAAAACTAAAATATCTAATATTATAAACTGCAACCCCCCCCCCCCCCCCCCCCCCCTCCAAATACTACCAAAAATTTGAGTCGAGCTTTAAAAGTGACACTCCTCATTCTGCAAGAGTTAGCGGCATTGAAAACAGGGTTGAATCAGAGTTCAGGGCCCTTGCAATAGACTGCTGCGCAGGATCTACCTTGACTACTTATTCAAATATAGGTCCGCGTTTTTTGTTTAGTTTTACTTCCTCGGCACCGCTCTTTAAAATTAGAGGCAGGCCTACAATCAAGGTAAAAAAAGATTGACCTGTAATAGTAGTGAGCACAATTTCCAAGCCCACTTCTCCTAACACACCGATGTGATGCGGTGAAGCTCCACGTATACGTGCCAGTGCATGGTGGTGAAGGTTGACGCGAGCGGCAATAGTGCCACAGCATGGAGGCATGTGGCAGAGATGAAAATTAAGTTATCTCATCAGGAATATAGGACTCTGGTTTTATCTTATCACAGCAGCTGCCATATCACCATTTTAAGAATTTTTTTTCTCGCGACTTCTAGAAATTAATTTATCTTCGAAATTATTTCGAGGATAAATTAATTAGGCCAGTGCGAAGCGGCAGAGTATCAAGTAAAAGAGATGGCGACGTTATAAAGTGTCTACGAACAATTTAATATTCCTGAAAGGTTTGAAGACTCAGTTCAATCACATACGTGGAAAGTTACCTTTGAAAACCTATTTATTGACCATGCATGCTGTTCATATTTAAATTGAAGACAACATTCTTGAACCCGCTTGTTGACGCGGGAAACCCAAACTTGTCAGATATTTCGTGATTCCATCCTACAGCGCAAGATGGAAGCCGTCAATGTGCTATGCCAATACCGGCACACCATCGTTCAATAGATAACATGTCAATTCGTTTTCAGGCGAGATGCATGAACAAACCTTTTCCGCAACACTAACTGATGTTTCGACTTTCCAACTAAAAATCGTGATTCGTTGGGCTAAGCATTCTAAAAATTGCAGCGGTTTGATTGTCCTCTCATCTCGACAACTTTTCTGTCGCTCTGCTGTCGGCACGCTACCGTTCAATAGATGAATTTGTTTTTAGGCAAGATGCATGAACAAACCTTTCCCGCAATGCTCACTGACGTTTCAGATTTCCAATTAATTACCTTTATTCGCTGCGGCTGGGCTAAGCATTTTAAAAAGGTCAGCGGTCTGTCTTTTCATCACAACTTTTCTGTTGCTGAGCTATCAATCAGCACGCTCATTCGATAGATGAATTGGTTTTCAGGCAAGGCGCATGATCAAACTTTTTCCTCGGCGCTAACTGATGTTTCGGCTTTCTAATCGAAGTATCTTTGTTCGCTGGGCTGAGCATCATAAAAGGGGTAGCAGTCCGAATGTCTCCTCATCTCGACAACTTTTCTGTCACCGTGATATCGGCACGCTACCGTTTTATAGATGAATTCGTTTTCAGGCGAGATGCAGGAACAAACCTTTTTTGGAACGCTAGTTGCTGTCTTGGCTTTCAAATTGTTTTTACCTGCTGGATTAAGCACTAATCAACTTAAAAGGAGCCGCGGTCAGGCTATGCCTTTCCTCTGAACGGTCTCAACAACAGTGCAGCCCTTTCGTTTGTTTATGTGACGTCACGGAGTGCGAAGAAGTGACTGACGCTCCGAGAAATATTTGGTGCATGAAGAGCGCGCTCGAATGTCAGTCTTCGACAGCACTCCTGTCCGTTTACTGAAAGGAGTGCCGAACTCTCGCGCTCCGAAGCACGGACTTAACGCGCCCAGTGGTTCATATTTCTTAAGTTGTCCGACAATTATTTTTCTCAAAATGCAGAGTGCCACCAATGGTGTTCTTGCAAGCAACGCTGAGATGGCATGCAGATGTTTGTTCAATCTCAACAAAAATTTAGAAACTAGATAATGATAGATCAGGCCACAGTGCACAAGGCTTGCAGCTAGAAAGTAGAGCAAGTAGTCGCAATTTGCGGTTCAAACCAGTGCACTAGATTCCTGAAATGCACAGACTAGATCAGTCAGTTCAAGCAAGCTGCACGAACCTTGATTGGGGAACGTTCAGGTTGGACGTCTACCGGGTGTTTCACAAAACGACGGTCAAAAATCCTCCCGCCAACACAACTGCCGAGGCAAGTTGCCCCGGACCCGTCGGAGTTTGGCCAAAAAAAGAAGATCCCCGCCCACCTGAGCCACTTGTCCTCCTCAAGGAACTGGGCAATGGAGCTGGCGGCTGGAGGCACCTCCACGTCCGTCTTGAGCCGGGGCAGCTCGTTGCGCAGTAGCGGCTGCCGGTACACGTAGCCCGTGCGGTGGCCCTGCAAGAGAGACCAGTCCTGTGGCGCCCCGCGGTGCCCCGTCATGCCGAGACCTACCGAGTTGTCAAGGGTGCGCATGTGGGCCTCGAAGAGCAGGTCGCAGGGGCGCCAGCGCTTGGCCTTCTCCTTGGGCTCTGCCTTCTCCTTGTCCTCGTCGCCTCCTGGCAGGGGCTCGTCCGTGCGCAGGCGGGCATGCTCCTCACGCACCGCTCTCTGCGCCTCCTCCGAGAGCGTGTGCACCCGGTCCAGGCCTACGGGCACCAGGCGCATCTGGGTCTCGCACGCCTCCACCGTCCAGCAGAGCAGCGAGAACGCCTCCTCCACAGAGTCGCCACCCACCACCGCCCCGTGGTGGCGCACAAACACCACCTTGCTGCTGGGGCCCAAGCTGCGCGCCAGGTCCCGCCCGTCCGCCCCGTCGTGGTAGGCCACGTCCCCCAGCAGGGCCGCCTCCGCCCCCACCACCGCCAGGCCATCCTTGAGCACCGACACCTGCCCGGACCCCAGCCTCAGCCCCCCGCCCCCGTGGGCCTCCTCCCCCAACACTCACCGCCACGCAGGACGGGTGCTGCACGTGGATCAGGCACTTGAGGTCCGGCCGACCCGCGTGCACCGCGGCGTGCTTGGCATACCAGGTCCGGTTGAAGTGGAACGTGGTAGTGCCCGAGTCAATCACATTGCCCTGCATGTCCAGCTTGAGCAGGCTGGAGGCCGTCACCTCGTGGTACAGCAGGCCCAGTGGGTTCACCAGGAAGTGCTCCTGGTCCTGGCTCAGCCGCGCCTGCAAACCCAAGAGCTCAGGACCGTCCCCGAGGGTTCCACCACCACCAACCCACCGTGACATGGTCGAAGCCCACACTCGTCCAGCCGTGGGCGTCCAGCAGGCGACAAAGGGCCGCCGTCTTGCAGCGCAGCACCTTCTCCCCTTTAGAGTAGCGCAGGCCGTCCACGCCCCGCATGTCATTGATGGGCACCAGGCAGCGGCCGCCCCGTAGCGTCGACTGCTTCGTGGCATGCGGCAAAAGCAGCTCCGTTACCTGCTGTAGGGCTGCCATGCTCGAGGGCGTGTAGCCCTCCGACAGCTGCGACTCTATGATGCGCTCCAGCTCCTCCCGGAACAGCTGGCTGTTCATTATCATCTCCACCCGCTTGCGCCGCTCCATCTCCTTCATGTCCTGTTCGATGTCGGGGGGTCGCCACAACTGCCGCTGCATTGCCGGATCGTCCCCGTCGTACCGCTCCAGCTTCCCCTCGGGCACCCCATTGGTTGCAGCCTTCGTGTCAGCCATCCAAGCTTGCCTGCATGCCGCACGCGCTTCCCGTCACTGTCGCATCCGACAATCCGCACAAGCAAAGCTCCACTCACGGCCGAGGCTCGTTTTATCGGGCAGAAAATTCCTCAAAATTAAAAAGCACACATCTCAGTAACCTGTTAAGGAACCACCTAAATAGGCAACAACCAATGATTTTCAACATGACACCTTGACAACTTTGGGACATTTAAGTTTTTGAGCGCCTTCCAAACGTTGCCCGTTTAGGGGAGTGCACCCCTGGAAACATACCAAGATATGCTGCTGTATTGAGTGTTGCTTCGATAACAAAGGCAGCGAAGTCAGCCTTGGGTATGGGGCCGAGCTATCTGCAGCGGCAAACTACAAGGTCGCAGTGCGTGCACCAACACTCACCGCCTGATGTTTACCAAACTTCTGGAGGGTTTAAGTGTCAAAACTAAGAATGTAGGGCACCTGGCACACCCTAGTAATGAACCAAGGTTTACTTTCAATTATCTTGGGGGTAGACAAGCACAACGATTAACTGCTAGCTGTCACTCGTAAAATGTAGTACAGTTCCGGACAATCTCTCAAACCTTTGATGCGCCATCGACGCAACATGTCACCCTTCTGTATTGTGTCCCACTTGGGTCCATCTTAATGACCTCACCATTTCTAGACTGAGTGCAGAAAGTCAGTGAGTTAATCACCAAAGCCTCGCTTAGGTACGGCTGCTGTGGTGTCCACCTCTTCGATACCCAAATAGAGATTCATGAGTAAAGCCCAAGTGATCGTCGATCACCTACACTACCACGAGAAGAGTGCAGGAAAACATGCCCGCCAATCATTCAATAGGCCCATATATCAGCTCTCATCTTCACAACTGGAGCAAGCTTACTTCTCCCTGAGCCATGCCTACCTCATAGCCAATGGGGTCAACTACAAGGAGATGCAATTGGAAGTCTGATGAAAAACGTTTGGGGGGACGAAACACCCCAGCCTGGAACTGCCGTAATGTTGCCACAAATGGCATGTGGCACCAAAATCAATCAACATTGGAACTATTCACAGCAACATACACAGAGATATTAATGAGCCCCGTCATCGACACCCGAGCTCACCATACTTCAATAGGGCACAAACAAGGTCACAGCAGAGGCAGTCAAGTGCCAGATATGTACACAACCACAACACCTGCCCTTAAAGGGACCATGAAGGCAGTTTCAAAGTTTTATTCGACGATTGAAATGGATGTCAGGCACGTCTCAGATACTGTTGACCAAGTTCTAGCCCGAACAGAAGTTTGGGTGCCGCACCAATCGAGCAAACACGCGCGTTAATAATAGCGCTGGGAACGATGCCTGAGACCCCACCGAGGCGGCGGCAGAAAGGTGAACTAAAGTGCGCCGTCGAAGCGTGACGACAACGGGCTCCTCGTCTGGCGATTGGTTCAAACGATAGATGCGCTCTTGGTTTCGATTTCGGTGGTGAGATGTGATAAAAAAAGTTTATTTGAACGTTGGATAATATTTTGAAGTTGTAGTTGGGAATTAGAAGGTTTCATACCGTGTATAAAAGCATAATCTGAAGCGATCCCTCCGTTTGCCGCTGGTTGAACGCATCCCGCACTGCTACCTCGGGCGCGTAACAAGCATCGAGCAACCATGGACAAGAAAAAGAAAAAAAGGTTCGAGCGCCGGGGACGGCGGACTTTTGGTTTTGGTTTCGTGCGTCGTCTCGTGTTCGCTTTGCGAACTGGTGTCTCACCACTCATGCCGCATTTATGTGCAGTAGTAGGTTGCGCGAAAGGTCGGCTAAGGACGTGCGGTCGATTGGGCGACGTTAGTTTGCATAAACTGCCGACCGATGCAGCAATGCGCAGCATTGCTGCATCGGTCGCCAATCCAGAGTTCTGCGTCCTTAGCAGCATCTCCCGTTCAGTCGGCGTGAGGTCGCTGAACGGGAGCTCAAACTCGTTTGCGAGCGCGGCGTTGTCGTCCATTTCTTCCAGGTTTTCTTCACAGACCGCCATGCACTAGAGCGAACCACGGGAACCACACTGAGTGTGCACTAAATCCTACCGATGCCGACAGTGCTCCCTGACGTCACTTCCCTTTCCAGAGGCGAAAAAGGGAAGAAATCTGAATGTTTGTTTCGGTTTCGAAAATTTATTTGCAGGTACAGAAATAAGAGTCACAACGTTCTAGAAAAAATTGTGTGGCATGCCAGGACCCCAATGCTTCCGAAAACACCTTCTTTTTTTAAAAAAAATTAAATTGCCTTCATGGTCCCTTTAACAGCTATCTTCTTCTGAAGGGCTTATGGCTACTGACACTTCCCCACAGGATTTTCCAAGCTACACTGACATTGGCCTACTCGCACATTTTGACATGCTCCAAAAGGTGTTACCTCGACTAATTCGAAAATGGTAAATGGAGTTTTAATAGCCCTCAACCTGTTTATAGTATGTTATTAAGGACAACTACCTTATTTTTACAGACTACAGTCTTGACCCAGTATATAGTCCGAAAGGGCAAATTTGGGGTAAAAAAATGACCGCATCTCCACGTGGTGAATGATGTTGATTGGGGCGAAGCTCTGGTGGTGCAATTGTCTGCGCAGACGCTGAGCCGCAGCATGCCGAGCCTTTCGTTCGTTTTCATCCATGTCAGAAAGAGAATGTGTGGTATGGAACGTGGTTATATACGCATTTGAGCATTTGACCGCAGCGCCCTCTCGTCTATAAACATTGAGCCAATGCGTGCAAAGTTTAACGCGATTATATACGCATTTGACCGCAGCGCCCTCTCCCGTATAGACGTTGAGCGGCTACATGCAACGTTTCATCCATGACATCCCCAGCTCTTGAGTTACTACCACATCTCAGAGCCCCCTACTCATCCCGCAGTTGTGGCCGAGTGGTTAAGGCTATGGACAGGTTCAAATCCTCTCAACTGCGCAAACTTTTTTTTTTTTTCATCATTTTTTTTTTTCTCTACACGAGCACGTGAGCACGTGCTCACGTGCTCACGTGAGCTCACGAGCACGATTACGAGCACGAGCACCAGCAAGATCGATGTGAGCACAGATGCCGGACGGACAAGGCTAGACCCTAAGGAGCTTCACCCCTAAAAGTAAAAGCACATGCTTAGACAGTCTGCACTCGGTGCATAGTCTGCATGCCGTGCCTAATCCTAACGTAAAAATTGTGTGGCACACCTGGACAAATACCTAAGGTATTAGCTCACAAAGAAGCTTGTATTCTGCAAAATACACATTAATATACTTGGTTATTCATAAAATCCTTCACGTCTTGTAGCAGTGAAAGATCTAGAAAAACAAATCCTTGTATATTCTGTACCTGTAGATAGTCCGCACCAGGTAAACTTTGAACTTTTAAACATGTACTATAGTCTGGAAAATACAATAGTTCTTTCCCGACTGTGACCACAGAGCGCCGACCACTCACAATCGATGGGCACAAACGATTACTTCAAAACTCTCGCGGAGCTCCCGGGCTCACTGCATCATCTCGAAGATGATTTGAAAACTAGTTCTGTTTTCTGTGTTCCTCTTTCCGCATGGCAGAGATGTTTAAGCCGGGCTTGCTTGAAACCGACTCCATAGTATCATTGTTGACAGCCATGACCACTTGCATGGGTCTGGCGCACTGACAAGCATGGCAATTTTCGGACTCCGATAGCAGCAGTGGGTCTGATGTTTAAGCCAGATCAGCATATTTCAGTTTTGATGACGTATGCTTCACTAGATTGAGAAACTGCCTTGTCTGATGGCATGCAAGTCATGAGGGTCAACTTGAGTTTTGGTAGTTAATCCCTGGGCTAAGTGGCGCAAGCTACTGCCCAATATAGAGATACAGCCACCAGCGTCCGTCCGTCCATACATGTAGCCACCGCCGGCAGCTCCGTCGGCACTGTCGAACACTCTACTCACGAATTTCCACCCATCCCCGACGAGGACTATTCTGGCAGTGCATCAGGGTTGGTCTACTCTGATAGGCGAGGGAAAGCCACTGACGGAGACAGTGTGAGGCAAGAGAATGCAACGGCTGATTATTCCTATTAATATTTTTTGTGCGGCTGTTCCACGTTTTGTCAGCCTGTTCCAATTAGTTAATAATGTTTTGAAACACATATGTGCAAATTTCTTTTTGCATGGAATAGGCTTGTGTCAGTCGGAGCAAGTATATGCTACCTTTTCTTTACTTGGAGTGACAATGATAAATAAAAAGAACATGCTGGAGTCAAGAAATTGTTTCATGGCCCCTGATTGAACCTACAAAAGTGACGTGCGAGAACCAACATACTAAGTTCTGTTTGTTTTAAATGTGGCATCCATTCAAATTTTAAAAGAAAAGAGCAGATAATTTGGGAGATATTACAGACATTCACTGAATAGTAAAATAATGCACCAACTTGCAACAATCAAATATGTTACTAAAGTGATCATGCAAGATCTGGGCTAACACACGACGCAGTCATGGGTTTCCTCTTCATACTCTCGCTCACCAACACAATCGACTGCGCACAAACCACAGACCAATGAACTTGTCTCTGCAGTCTGGCACATCAACTACTCTTGCTTCACAAAATGGACCAACCCCGTTTATCGACAGTGAACAGACACTCGTCCACGACGGTGCTTCCTCGAGATAAGCAGGCAGTTATCGGCTACTGCACACCACTCGACGATGGGCAATCCAAACAACGTCTCCGTGAGGGATGTCTCTTCTCAAATAAAGCAACGCACCAAATCGAAAGGAACAAAAAGAGGTTTCGATGAGCTTTGCTTAACGGGAAATGCATGGTTTCTTTGGCACCAAGGCAAAGGGCAGATTGAGCGAGGTAAATGCTGCTGTTCAACCCGATTCCCAGCGATTCTACCCAAACAGAACATGGCTCCCAACGTCATCAAATGAACTCAGTTGTGGAACTCCCCCTGGAGGGAGGCTCCTTCGAGTATCGCCTACAAGGGATTGCACGCTTTGTATTAGGTGACATTACGTCA